CAAACCTATCCCACGAGAACACACTCAACAATGTGTGTTTGGCTAAGCTGGCCAAAGCTATAGCCATACACTGCCGCCCTCGATACACAAACCGCTCATCTCCCTGGTGAAACGTTCCCCTCACGACCTTCCCCAGCCTAAACCCTCTGCTACCCTCTGCTGCCACAACATGACTGTCTGACTCTGACACAACTGCACTAACATCAGGAACACTAACAAAAGGAACAAAAACATCCTTATCTGTGTCGATCCTCTGTGGCATCCGGGTTCCCTCCTGGACGGCGGACTCCATCGGCACGGCAAGGCACGCTGCAGCAACCTCCTCCACCACCTCCACAGACGGCTGGGCTGTGATCTGCACCTGGCACAAAAACAAAATATGAAGTTTTATTAAATAATACAACGAAAGACGACATGTTACTGCTTCCTAAAATCATCAATAAGTGACATTATATTTAAAATGAAACACACCTCCTGGACTGCTGGGCTGGGCTTGGAGGCAGACTCGGTCACAGGGGCAGGCAGAGGTGTTGCTGGAACCTATCAAGACAGAATAAAAATCAAAAACTATTAAAACGCAGCACTCACTTTGTTGCGGCATATGTTTTAGAAATATAAAAAAAAAATCCACATCAACATCCTAAAAAAAAAACAAAAAAAACCCCACCAACCTGCTTTCGTCCTCTGCGCGTTGTGGCAACACCTTTCGGCTGACGCTTCACACGGAAGGTCTGTAGGAAGGAAAACAAACCCCTATAAAAACTGTCCACCGGTTTTGACCTCTACAGTGTTGACGCAATGTGTAAACAGCTTACCTGGCCGGCTGGCGGATCAGCAGGCCAGCCAGAGCCAGAAGAAGGGGAAACCTTCTCCATGGCGTCCAACATGCCACTGCTGAACCACACAGGGTTGGACGGGATGACAGACTGTCCCACCGGAGATGTTCCAGCCTTACAAAACAAAAAAACAACAGAGTTGGTTAGATTTCATTTTTGGACAAAAAACTCTGCACAACTTTAAGCCACAAATTGCCTTGAAGCAACACATTACCTTGCCCTGCTGTCCAACCACTGCCCACTTGCAGGGGTCACTGTGACGCGGCACAGGAACGTGCCCCGTCATGACCAGAGTGGGGGACACCCGGCCACCCGGCGATCTCCGGGGAGACACCGGGGGTGCGGGCGGAGGGGGTGCCTGCCAGCTGGAGGTACGCCACGTTCCACAGCAGCTGCACCAGGATAGGATGGGCATGCCATCGGAGTCGCTGCACCTGAAAGACAGTTTAACACAACCAACATGTCACTCCAAAAACATGAAACTCCTCCATGTGTTATGTCACACCAACAAAGTATGCTGTACTTACACCGTCATGGCACCACAGCTCCAACCGATGGACTGGGAAGTGCGCCGCCACAGACAC